AGAAAGTGCCATACCGCTTTCCACAGGGGTTGCACCATTTTACACTCCCACCAACAGTGAATAAGGGTTCCAGTTTCTCCACAACCTCACCAGCATTTATTGCTTGCTGTTCTGTTAAATTTTGCTATTTTGACTGGGGTGAGATGATATCTCATAGTTGTAACTGTTTAGATTTTGAAGTCACACACAAACCAGGCTCTGCCTTGAAAATTGCATGATGTTGCATTTTCTAATTGCTTGAAAAGGGACTACTTACTATATCTTTTCCCAAGAGTCACAGGGTGCATTCAATAAGATGAGATAGGTAAAGTCTAGACACATGTGGATTGTTATTAAGTGTTGTTTACTATTGTTGTTATTAAGTGCAGTTGAGTCTCAGGGGACTCATAGCGACCCAATGAAGGAGAGTCCTCGACAACGCTTGGGTGCCTTTCATCCCTCTCCACGTTCATAGGGTTTCTGGAGGCAAGCTGTTACAGAAGTGGATGCCATTCCTTCCAAGCTTGTTTTAACTGGGGAGCTCCACCCCACTCTCTGTCCGCATTGGGTAACCAACCATTAACACATTTGACACATTAGTGTCACAGTGTTCAGCAACCACAAGTGACCGCTGTACGGCAACTTGTACATCAGGGCTATACAACCTAGAGGAATATCTGAACAAAAAACAATGAAAGACAAGCCCGAGGGCCGCGGACGGATTAAAAGTCACCCACCTTTGGCTTGGTAGCATCGCTTTCTGTCCACTGGGCCAGCTGATCGGTATCACTCTCTCTCTCTCTTTCTCTCTTTTGATGTTGATGTTATTGTTAAGTGCTGTCGAATCGCAGGTGACTCATAGCAACCCTATGAAGGAGAGTCCTCAACGCTTGGGTGCCTTTCAGCCTCTCTCCAGGTTCATAGGGTTTCCAGAGGCAACCTGTTTACTATTATTCTTTTAAAAAGAGTTACAGGTTGAGCATGTAAATAGGTTCCCAAAAGATGGATGATGATGTGTATTATAGCCTTTGGGGATTTTAGGAACATCTCCAAAACTCTGAACATTGCCATCGTAAGCTGTGAACTCATAGGAGACCTGATTGTCTCTGGCATTTTTGTCAGAGATAGGATGCAAGATTGAAGAAACTGTCTTACCTCACTTATCTCTCACTTAATTTTTTTGTGGTCCTGCTTTTGAAAGCTTGTTTCTTTAATTGAGATTAGGTGTTCTGGTGTTGTTTGAGTATTTGAGTATGATTATGAGAGGGAAAGCGTGATTGAGTGAGATGAGTGCTTTGCTGCAGTGTCTCTTTTGTTGGTTTTCCCCCAGGGACAGGACAAGGTTTGACCCTGGAGGGTTTTTTCCTCGTTGTGAAATTATTTCAGAAAGGTTGCCTCTTACAGGGACCAATACTGTCTAATATACAAGAAGTTTGTGTTCCCAAGGATCATTTGCAGATTGTTTACTGGGAATGTGAAATACATTTTCCCATAAAAACCAATATGATAAGGTTACTAGTCTGGCCTATAAAGCTTTTCATTTAGCATCTGACTAAAGCAGTAATTTACTAATGGCATGGGCCTCAATTCTGGGAACAGTGCTTTCAGGACAAGTGGGAGGAGGAGGAAATTTTCTGGTCTCTTTTTGGGCTCAGGTTTGAATTTTTAGCATAAGTTTGCTATGCTCTTTTTGATTGTTTATTTTTCTTCTTAAGTCTCTAGGTCTCTTCACACTTTTTTTGAGGGCTTCTCTGCTGACTAAGTGGCCTCCCTGCAGACCCTGTATTGGGTTTTCAGGGACTGTAAATAAATTGCCTGTCTTTGA